CTCATGACGCTGCTCTGTCAAATCGAAGCGTGTCTCAACTCGCGTCCGATCGCACCGATGTCAGATAATCTCGATGATTATTCATGTCTAACGCCGAGCCATTTATTAATTGGCTACGCAATTACTGCAACGCCGGTTCCCACGCTACTTGAAACAAAAGAAACGCGTCTGACTCGATGGCAACTCGTAAAGGAAAAGAGCGAAATTATATGGAAAGCATGGTCGAACGATTATTTACACGGATTACAACAACATTCAAAATGGCGCGTCGCTCAAAAGCTTGCTCGAGTCGGACGTTTAGTTCTTTTGCGCGATCCCCTCGCACCACCGTGCAAGTGGAAGCTTGGTCGTATCATCGAGTGCCACGTTGGAGACGACGGACTAACACGCGTCGTCACTGTCAAAACATCAATATCTACATACAAACGATCAATCGTTAAGTTGTGTTTCTTGCTAGTCGATTTAAACGACGCTTCCGCGTGAATAATTTTCGTGCATGGCACTCCATGATCGAGTTAAGTTCTTGCACACTTCTCTTTTATCATGCGTTATTATTATTATATTATTCTTATATTTTTCTATCTTTATCGATGATCTATCTCTGTGTATATATTATTCTCGTTATCATTAGTTTTAAGCAGAGTTGTAAAGCAGTGTATTTACGCTATCTTCTTCATGTAATCATTAGTTTTAAGTTAGTGGTAACTCGGCTTGCCACGGCGGACGGCATCAAGCATTCATGTTTCGGTTCAACCGAGGCAGGCGACATTACGTAAAATTTAAGCGCGACAAATGGAAATTAAGGGTCGATGGTGCCATCCATCGATTCCTTCCGTGAATCTTTCATCGTAGACGCCGCGCCGTTTCGCGAACATCATTCTAGCAATTTCGGCGTGTTATCGCGTGATTGGGCAATGCTTAAACCGATGTTGTGTCGCCTGCCGATTCGTCGCGCTAATCGCGCTATCTGAAGCTGCCGTTTCGGGTAACGCAACTCTTCCCTCAGAAACAAGTAAGAGCTTGTCGTGATAAGCCATTTCTCAATTCCGTCACGAAGTTCAGAAAAGGTACCGGGCTCCCGCGACCGCAAATCGATAGAACACCGCGATTCCAGTATCAAGGATCGGCCAGATGTATCATTCTCAAGTAATTCGCGAATTCGTCGCCGAGTCCGTCGAACGCAGCAGCGTTCGTGCCACGTGTGCGCTACCGCTTACAAGTCATTTGTATCATTCATCACGGCTGCCGCTGCATGATCATCGCCACGTTAGCTACCGCTAAGTGTTTCTTTTTAACAATCATTGTGCAACGTTATCGCCACGCAATTGAGAGGCTTTTGACAATAAAGTTTATATAACAAGTTAATCGGAGTGCGCAGTGTCTTTACCGTCCAGTCCACCGATCCATCCCGCTGCACTGTTAGAAATGTTCTTAAATTTCATTAACTTTTAATGTACATTGGTGAATGAAGTTTAATTTCTCTGTAACTGAAAGGACTATTAATGCACATTTTAATGAAATTTAAGTTTACAGTAACTGAAAAATTAAGTGTAATGAAATTTAATATACTTTTATAAATGATATTTAATTAATCGTAATTGAAATAACTATTAATGTACATATTAATGAAATTTAATGTACTTTTACATTTACGAATATTAATAATATTTTAATTAAGCCTAATACTATTAACGTTTAATGTTTAATACATTTACGTTTCTTACATGTCATTAACGTAAATTACTTTTCAGTTACAGATCTCGTACTTTTCATTAACATGTAAATTAATTTCTACAATAATGTGTTCATTAATTTCAATTCACACGTTCATCACATTTAAGACTACTGTAATTTAGTTTTTATTTACATCATTCATTACATTTAATTTCGTGCATAACCACATGTTTCCTTTACATATGTTAATTAAAATTCATTGAGAAATTTCTAACAGTGTGAGATCTCAATCGAGATCGAAACAGTGAATCTCATACAAAGTCATTTCGATACGGGATCATCCCGCCGTAGTGATGGAACTTTTGGATTTGTGCGATCGGGTATTAAATATACCCCTCAGTTCTTATACCTTTATAACTATTTTCCAGCTGCATCTACCTTTCTGCGCTTGTGGTCTCATTAAAGCCAGATGTTTATCACTCCCGTGCTCCCGGCGTTCCAGAACTCCTTTCATTCTACTATCATCAACATTTCCTATTACAAATTGCCCTCCCAGTTTCTCAAAAACTTAAAAACCTTTCCGCAACATCATGTTCAGCTCATTTTTGAAAACGTCTTTCGGAAAGAATTGTGTGAATCTACCGTTTTCTATATGGACGGTTCCAAAATGGACGAAGGCATACACGTTGGCTTCGCGATTTATTCTCCTCAGCTCAATTTGCATTACATGTTTAAATTCTCCTCTTACGCCACCGTGTTCACGGCCGAGGCTTGGGCCATATACAACGCGCTTTCAATCGCTCTACATAAAAATCTTACAAGTTACTATCATTTCTGACTCCAGAAATGTTTTGGATGCCCTAAGTAATCACTGTAATAAAACCAACAACTACATAATTTCTTATATCAGAGCGCTGATTGAGGA